CACTAAGCCTATCTAGGTTAAACTACTACCTCTTGCCTTTAAAATGAGCTAGCGTAATTGGAAATAGATTTAATATTCAGCTAGTTATACTAGTTTAAAAACTAGAACTTTTAGGAACACTCTTTTTTCATGTCACCCCTCTGTAATTATAGTTTATTATACTAATATCTTACTATAATAATAGTTCACTATTCTACTATCTTCGTTATAACTATATTTTAGCCATCGTATCTAATAGGTATATTCTTATTAAGAGGTTTTTAGTAGTACTACTAATGTAGTATACTGTAACTATAAAGTTATATTATTTTTAATACCTAATTACGGTAGGTTGGGGTATAGCCTGCTATCCTTTTCTAACATAATTGATCTAATACGCTACATACCAAACAGATAGAAAAAAGTCAAATGAGATCAAAATTAAATTAGCTTCACAATCGTTAGAAGTAGGGTTCAGGTAGAACAAAGCTTATGAAATTGAATAACAAGAGCATCAACCCTGACATGCATTCTACTCCATGTCAGCTGCTGTGGTAACGTTCCTATAGCTATTGTTTTCTGGGTGAGATGAGATGTGACACACGATTGAGGTTTCGGGCTACAGCCATCGCTGAAACCATCGAACAGCTTGAGCCTGAGCTTCTTTCGCGCTTACAGCAGCGTCCTCGTCTCCTTCCTTCGCGCGTATTGCGAAACCATGCTGACTCCCAGGATAAACGACGATTTCATAATTAAACTCGTTTCCACCATCCCCAGGTCCAAAAGAAGATTTCAGAGTAGAACTCAGGTTTTCAATTTTGTCAGGTGTAAGGATGGGATCTTCCGAAGCAGCAGCCAACGAATATGGGACCTTAAACTTTTCGATGGCATCAACGACCATTTTTGGTACACTTAGGCGACTCGGATGAGCCGCGAAATGCGCATCGATAAGCCTATCCTGTGACCAAGTAGCCAGTGGTTCTGTGCATAGCAATGTTGATGGAAGACCCCCCCAACAAAATCCGCATACACCCAATTTCGCCCCATCTGGCAACTCGGCTTTGACTCTGCGAGCGAATTCCAACAGCTTTGGATATGTCTTGTATGCGCTAGAGCGCATCATGAAAGGAAGAACAATCGTCAGCAACCTAACGAACGCAGATCCTTTCCTGAAATATCCCCAAATATTGAACCCCTTTACAGGCTCTGAAACCGCATCCATAAGCTGCATCGCAATTGGATTCAAAGGGCCCCCATTGATGATGTCTGGTATAATGACCCGAAAGCCAGTTTCCTTAGCGTAGGCATCTGCTAGGAGCTGGTTGTTGATAAATTGCCAACCAAAAGCGTCCGGAAGGTAAATAATTGTAGACTCTGGTTTGTTGGCGATCGGTGTTGGAGGCAAAGCAACGTAACATGTAAGGCCGTGAACACCCAGCACCTGACCCTTGCCAGTCGACTGACCCAGATTTGCATGCGAACTTCCCCGAAAACAATCAGGGCATGACATGGTGTGCGACGGTATCAGTTACGCTTTGTAAAGATTTCCGCTTTTGAAGCTGAACTGTAAACTAGATGTATGGATCGTTGAGATGGGGGACTTTCGAGTCATTGGATCTTATGAGAATGGATGGCTGAGTTAGAGTACTTTTATTGCAAGCGGATAGGTTTCTCGGGACATTAAGACAGATCTACATTTCTTGATATGGTAGACGGCAAAACATCCCGGTACTACAAAAGCGCCGGTAAAATTTTAAAGTTAGCCGGTTAGTTCTACGTATGCTAGCCTCTGAGGCGTCCCACCCTACGAGCTCCACCAATCATCTGACCACGCACCAAAAGAGAACTTGAGGTTTTTCACGTAAACGCAGTGCTAAATTAACTTTTTTACAGTGAAAATTATACACAAACTGACAATATAACAAGAAGAAAAGCTGTTTAGTGAGCTTCCATGTAGCTTTACTGGCCCTAACCGTGGCATAGCTAGAGGAATAAGGATACATTCTGTTTCCTGCTCGTTGTCTAAGTTAACAAAAACATATCACCTTGCATTGAATGATTTGAATTGGTAGTGACGAAATCGATTAATTTGTATAACCTTGATACACTAAGGTTACGTCATAGACAATCTCTACTTGGCTTCTAGACTAAGATTGCACACGATTCCGCTTTTACAGTCTCTTCTAAGCTTCTCCAGTAATGTTGTCGTTCTCCGCTATTCTATGGCGCTCATCGGAAGGCTTTACAAGAGTTTAGTAGTGTCCACCCTTTGCCAAGAATTCACCAAGAGCAGCCATATCTGGCATGCCTCGTGGACCAGGCAGGAAGTTTGTATGCTCAGTTTCGGTAGAAGAGTTCGTCCAGACTTCGTTTTCCTTGAGCATGATCATGCTCTCAACAGCATCAATGTACGTGCGAACCTTTACAATTCGGCCATTGTGCCACTTTGTGACCCAAACGTTAATGATGTCGAAATCCCGGCCTTTTAAACGTGGATGTTAGCTACGGTATAACTAACAAGATAACAACTGCAACAGATTCAACTCACCATTGTTTGCTCGTCCCTGACCTCGTATCTCTTGTACGCTCCACTCTTCATTGCATCCTCCGTGGATAGTCAACAAAGTAAGTTTGAAAAGCTCAGGATAAACCTCTGTAATGCAGCTACCAAGCCTATAAAAGGCATTAACATAGAAGTGTTTGAAGTCGTGATAATGTCCTGAAAGCGCATGGTGACCGACGACTGTGAAATCAACATCTGGTGCTAGCATTGTCGAAAGATAGGTATAGTCGTCCGTGAAACGAGTGTACTGCTGATAAATGTAAGGCTGCGATGAATGCTTGCAATCCGTGCTCGGGTTGCCGAAGTAAAAGCCGTCGTCAACCAAGAGTTGGAAGGGTTGGTTCTTGGTGGTAGCCACTTCAGGTGTAAGAGGCCTCTGGTCGTTGCCGGACCTGTCCGTTACCAAAGCTGCAGCTTGAAAGGCAGAGAGAGTAGATAGAAATGCGAGTTTGAAAAACATGTTGCAAAGCTGGTGACTGGATGTCGATGAGGGCTGGATGATTGTGTCGATGGAATTGCGCTGATACATATATTTATCGTAATCTGGATTCACAAGTAAAGCCGGAATTCGTTCCTAGTCGAAGTATGATGAAAACCGAAGCCACTCACCGGGAAATTTTCCAGACGTCCGGAGTTATCCTTGAAACCCTTTTTGCCTATCGGCATGCTAACAACTACTCTGTGATTCGGAGATCTTCTAGAGACATCGAGGCAAGTGCAGCTCATGCAAAATGTCCCGGGAGTATTTACCCATGGAAATACTTCTAAAAAGCATATGTATGCATGAGTTCAGTCATTCCAAAGTGCGTTCAGCCAAAATTTCAGATCCATATATACATTGCTACTAAGAAGACTAGGATAGAACCTTCCCCATAATTCGGACTCAAACTTTTGCTGTTTCATCGCTAGAATGGCACCCTTTCTAAATGGAGACCTGAGCGCTAACAACGGCATCGATCACAATGACAAAGCAGATGGATCAATGCCCATAGCGATTGTGGGCATGTCGTTTCGAGGCCCTGGATCGGCGAATAACATTGAGACCCTCTTCAAAATGATTTGCGAGAAAAGAGAATCGCGAACAGCGATTCCGAAGTCCAGATGGAACAACAAGGCATTCTATCACCCCAACTTTCAACGTCATGGGTCCCACAATGTTGAATATGGGCATTTTTTTCAGGATGATATCTCTAAGTTTGACGCGCCGTTCTTCAATATGACAAGGGAAGAAGCTGCTGCACTCGATCCAGCACAACGACTGCTTCTAGAAACCACATACGAAGCATTGGAAAACGGTAAGAAGAATATAGCCATAAATACGGGGCGATATTAACTCATTTCATAGGTGGCATACCTTTGGAGAAGATTGTGGGAACGAAAACGTCTGTCTTCGTCGGCTCCTTCGCTACAGATTACACGGACCTCTTAACTCGAGATCCAGAATCTGTACCAATGTACCAGTGCACTAATAGTGGACAATCTCGCGCAATGGTTTCCAATAGGTTGTCCTACTTCTTCGACCTTCACGGCCCGAGTGTCACAGTTGATACAGCATGTTCAGGAAGTTTGGTAGCGCTACATTTGGCTTGCCAGAGTCTGCGGACAGGAGAGGCTAATTCAGCAATTGCTGCTGGTGTAAATGTGGTGTTGAACCACGAATTCATGACCACAATGAGCATGATGAAGTAAGTCCAGTTGAAAGTGTAGTTCCAGCATCAGTAAACATACTTACAAGGACAGATTTCTATCACCTGATGGCCGCTGCTATGCATTCGACGAGCGTGGGAACGGTTACGGACGCGGTGAAGGTGTAGGCACGGTTTTCCTCAAACCACTTGCGGACGCTTTGAAGGACGGTGATACGATCCGAGCTGTCATCCGAGGATCAGCTTCGAACCAGGATGGTAAAACATCTGGTATCACACTACCCAATCCTGTGGCCCAAGAAGCTCTGATCAGAGATGTGTATCATGCCGCTGACCTTGATCCACTTGACACTGGCATAGTGGAAGCGCACGGTACTGGCACCGCTGCTGGAGACCCTCTGGAATTGCGGGCCTTGACCAATTCGTTCTGTGGCACCAATCGTCCTGAAGACCGACCTCTCGTGATCGGATCTATCAAGTCCAACCTTGGTCATCTAGAAGGAGCAAGTGGCATTGCCGCTGTAGTCAAGGCGGTGCTAATGCTGGAACAAGAAGTCATATTGCCAAACCAGAATTTCGAAAAACCAAACCCAAGGATTCCCTTTGCGGATCGGAAACTCAGGGTTCCTACCGAAATGCAGCCGTGGGACTCGTCAGGACCACTACGCGTATCAATTAATAGTTTCGGATACGGTGGTTCCAATGCTCATGTTATTCTTGAGTCGACACGAACATACCTGAGTTCACGCGGACTTTCCAGCGCCCAAAAAGTGCCAACACATTTTCTACGTCACAGGTATGGAGTAGCAAATGCTAGTCCCAAGCTGGCTGGTGCGCTCATGTATGAAAATGGAGATCCACCCGTTGATTCTGTGTTGCCAAATCACAGTCGTCCGAAGCTTTTTACGCTTAGTGTCTTTGATGAGCCTACGGCTCAACAGCAAATTCAGACTTTGGTCAAACATCTTCAGGAGCGCGGCATGTCTCGACAAGCTGGATTCCTGGACGATCTCGCCTTCACTTTGAACGAAAGAAGAACAAACTTTATTTGGAGAGCTTCGGTAGTCGCAGCGTCTCTCAAGGAATTAATTGGCGCTTTATCTAGACCCACAAAGTTTTCGCGTTCTTTGAAAAGTCCTACATTGGGGTTCGTTTTTACCGGACAGGGAGCTCAATGGTGTGGGATGGCCAAAGAGCTTCTAGAGGTGTATCCAGTGTTCAAAACAACAATTCGCAGAATTGGAAAATACCTGCATTCAATTGGAGCACCTTTTAATGTTGAAGAGGAGATCACGATGGACCCAAAGGTATCTAAAATCAACAAAGCGTTGTACAGTCAACCAATGTGTTCTGCGATTCAGATAGCTTTGGTGGAACTGCTCGCCTCTTGGAACATCAGACCTACGTCAGTGACTGGTCATTCGAGTGGGGAGATAGCTTCGGCCTACGCAATAGGCGCGCTGAGTCTCGAAGATGCAATGACTGCTGCATATTACCGCGGCGTTTGTTCTACCAAGATGCAAGAAGAGCACAAAGCTAACGGGGCAATGATGGCAGCCGGACTATCCGAGGAAGACGCAACACGGTTTCTTGCTGAACTTAAGTCTGGTAAGGCTGTAGTGGCATGTTCAAACAGCCCCTCAAGCGTCACTATCTCTGGAGATGTATCCGCGGTTGGTGAACTGCAAAAGATCTTAGAGTCCAAAGGCATTTTTGCGCGGATGCTTGCTGTCGAGGTTGCTTATCATTCGCATCATATGGAGCTTGTCGCGGAAGAATATGCGAAAGCAATTGCGGGAATACGGATACGACAGGGTAACGGAGCAAAATTTTACTCGTCGGTGTACGGCCGTGAGGTCGGTACGGAAGAACTTGGTCCAAGCTACTGGGTGAAGAATTTGCTCTGCCAAGTAAAGTTTACGGATGCAATTCGTCAACTATGCTTAGCTCCTGCTATCCAAAGTAAAAGACGACAAGTCAAGAGACATGGCGTAGACGTCTTGGTGGAGATTGGGCCTCATTCAGCTCTCGCTGGGCCTATCAAAGAGACAATCCAGAGCGATCCAAAACTGAAAGCTGCAGACATCACGTACACTTCAGCCCTAGTTAGAAAGATGGATGCTGTACGAACTGTCCTCGATTTAGCTGGGAAACTGTCAGCGATAGGGTATCAGGTCAATTTTTCGGCGATGAATCGGCCCACGGCAGATCACAGCGCCAGTGTCTTGGTTGACCTGCCGTCTTACACTTGGAATCACTCCACATCATACTGGGCCGAGCCGCGGCGCAGCAAAGCATTTCGGAACAGAACCTTCCCAAGGGTGGACATACTGGGAGTGCGCGATGAGAACTCAGATCCATTGCAGTTGAGCTGGCGCAACCATCTTCGCACTTCGGAGATACCGTGGCTCTTGCAACACAAGATTCAGTCCAGCGTAGTCTTTCCAGCAGCAGGTTTCATTGCTATGGCTATCGAGGCGGCTGCTCAGCGGTCAAAGGAAAGACTCAACAAGCAAGTTTCCGGCTACCAGCTTCGTGAAGTCAACATTGGAACTGCGCTTCTTTTGCCTGAGCAAGAATCCGTGGAGACGATACTAACCTTGAAGCCGATTCGAGATAGTTCCAAACGGCATTCCAATACCTGGAGCGAGTTTCACATATATTCAGTAACGAATGATAACCACTGGACGGAACATTGTCACGGACTCATTTCTGTGCAGCACCAAAGACAGCAAGATAGTAGCGGAGGAACTCGCCTCATTACTCAATCGTCAACAGTGGACGAGTTCAGAACCACCCTTCCAATGCCCGAGTTTTACGAGCATCTCTCTAGTATTGGCCTTGACTATGGCGAGGTTTTCCAAAATCTGGTTGAGGCTCACTCTTGTCCAGATAAGCTGACTGGAGTTTTGCAGCTGCCTGCAACAACGAGCACCATGCCTTTGGATCAAGAACACACTTATGTGATACACCCTGCTACTCTAGACGCTATACTACATACAGTATTTGGTGCACTGTCTGCGGACACATGGCTCCAGGACCCTGCTATCCCGGTTTTCGTGTCGAGCTTGTTCATCTCCGCGGATATGCCTTTTCAGGCCGGTCATCTTCTAAAGGCAAATGCAACTATCTCAACACGAGACAACCAAACGATGAAAACAAATATCCTAGTAACAAATGATAACAATAATACGCCAGTTGTGCAATTTTCTGAGCTAGATTGGAGGTTTCTCCCAACACCCATCGAACAAGAGGATGTAGTTGACAGCCACCACGTCGCCTACACGCTCGATTGGGCAGCGGACGTAGAATTCCTAGAGTTTCAGGATGCTCAGCAAATATCTCACTCTGCTGCAGACTACATACACCTACTAGGTTTTAAGAATCCCGAAATTTCTGTTTTGGATATCTCTGCATCAAGCAGCACCACACTTTCTTTCTTAAAGGCGTTAGAGATCGGAAATAGCGCTGCCAAACAAAGATGCAGGGCCTACACAGTAGCAAATGCTCAAAAAACCAAAACTGTCCTCGTCAGCGATACGCCAAATCTCGCTTACGACCTAGTCACTAAGAAATCGCTAGATTTAGAGATTGGTCCCCAGAAGCCAGATTTTGAGTTAGAATCATTTGACGTCATCATTGTATCAGCTTCATTGGTACCCTCTAGCAGCCCAGATAAAGCTCTAGATCATATCAAAAGTTTACTAAGGCCGGGTGGTAGGCTTATTGTGCTTCATGAGGGTGCAATGGACCAAGATCCAATCCTCTTAGAATGGAAAATATCCTTACAGCAAACTGGGTTTACCAATCACAAGCTCACAGAGCTAGACTATTTAGGTGAAAGGGTAGACCAAGGTTCGCTCTTCGTAGCTTACCCAAGCCAAGAATTGCACCCCGCTGCCCCCGAGATCATAGTCATGGCCGAAGACCACAATCAAGCTATTGATACGGGTTATCTAGCTAGCCTCCTAGGCTTAGATCCTGGAAAAGTTGAGCGAGGTACCATACACGATGTCGCGCCTGCCGAGAAAATACGCATTGTGTGGGATCCTGCTGGAGAACTGCTAAGCAGTCCTTCAATTGAGCAGTTCGAGGCTGTCAAGCGGATCTTTACTCAGAGCGATAAGTTACTCTGGGTGACTTCAGGTAGGGGTCAAGGTTCTCGCCGTCCAGAATCCAGCATGATCGCCGGGCTAGCTAGGACAGCAAGGACCGAGAATGGCGCAGCAAGGCTGGTTACTTTGGACCTTGACGATGAAGACAAGTTGTCGCAGAAAGATACCGTGAACATTATATCCGCTGTTGTCAAACGTTCGTTCTTAGGAAATGAACAGCAGGATATGGCTGAGAGCGAGTATGTTGAGAGGAAAGGCATCGTCACCATTCCTCGGCTCTCGGTGGACGACACCTTGAATCAGGCCCTTGATTCATATCTCAATTCCATGGCAAAAGAGATCCAACTACTACATCACAAGGGCATCACCTTTTGTCTTCGTGATCGACCTCATGCTCAAGAACCATTTTCTTTCCAGGAGATCACCGTTGACGAAGAATTGAAAGAGAATGAGATTCAGGTCGAGGTCAAGGCGATGACGCTGGTCTCTGGAAACAGCGTGGATATCTTCACCCAAGACATTAGCGGAGTCGTTGTAAAGGTCGGCGGCCAGGTATTGCACTTATCGCCAGGTGACCGTGTCTTCGGTGCCGTATCGAACCGCGTCTCAAATTCATACAAAGGAAGAGCCAGCTCTTTCCGGAAGATACCAGACGGAGTCCCTTTTGAAATTGCAGTCTCATATCCTACTGCTTACAGTACAGCATATCACTCCATTCACCGTCTTGCCAATCTTTCCAAGACCGACAAAGTTTTTGTCTCATCAGCTGTGACGCCTATTGGTCGAGCCTTGATAGACCTCTGTAGCAGAAATGGTGCTAAAGTATACGTTGGCGTGAGCAATGACAAGGAGGCTCTCTTCATGGAATCCACCCTCCATCTCCCCAAGGATCAAATTGTTTACAACAATGAACAGCACTCCGTTGCAGCCTTGGTTGCAAATACGGAAGGCCACGGAATGGACGTGATATTCAACACGCTTTCAGGAGAAATTCTGCAAACGTGTTGGAACTGCATAGCGCCGTACGGTCGATTCATCGAGCTCGGTACTCAGGACCTCATCGAAAACTCACGCTTGGAGATGGCCAACTTTAGGAGGAACACGAGTTTTAGTGCGCTGGACTTTTCTCGCCTCCAGCAAGAAAGACTGGCCTTGGCGGACGAAATATGGGGCCAGACTCTGGAACTGATCTCGAACGATTCATTTAGCAGTGCTGTGCCCAACCTACAGCTATTTAACAGCGAGGGTATAACCCAAGCATTTGAGCGCTTAATGGATGAAGAGAATACCGACCATGTGGTTCTTACTTTCAATCCTAGTGACCGAGTCAAGGTTAGTGCGCATCGATGTGAAACTGCTTTTTCCTCTCTGAAGCTTACATCCTTATCAGGTCCTCCCTACCACTACCGAAGATCAATTATTCCATGCTGATGCATCTTATCTACTTGTTGGCGGACTAGGTGGCATAGGACGGGCAACGGCGTCGTGGATGGTTGAACATGGGGCTAAGAATCTAATCTTTGCCAACCGAAGCGGTATGTCCAAACAGGAAGCTAAAGATACAGTCCATGCTCTGAAGTCTATGGGCGCTCGAGTCCATGTTCAAAAATGCGATGTCAGCAACACTGATAGTGTTCGCAAACTGGTTGACGAGTGTGCGAATCAAATGCCACCAATTCGTGGTGTGATTCAAGGTGCAATGGTTCTACGGGTAGGTTTTCCTCTATCATCCCGACTACTCGTACTAAATCAAGACAGGATATGCTTCTAGAGAAACTGACTTTGGACGATTGGAACGCTGTTGTTCGCCCCAAAGTACATGGAACGTGGAATCTACACAACCATCTGCCAAAAGACATGGATTTCTTTGTCATGCTCTCCTCCATCAGCGGTATCATCGGGAACACTACCCAAGCTGCCTATGCCGCCGGGAACACTTTTTTGGATGCATTTTCCGGATTCCGCAATGCCCAAGGGCTCCCTGCTGTCACCTTGGACTTGGGCGCGATCTCAGGCGTCGGATACCTCGCTTCGGAAGAAAACAAAGAATTATCCAAGTCCATGCAAGATCAAGGCTTCAGCATGACGGACGAAAAGCTACTCCTCGCGCTCATACGATCCGCAATTGTACAACCTTTCGGGCAAGAAGGCAAAACGCAGACGATAACCGGATTAGGCACTTGGAGAAGCGGCCGCTCCTTATCTGCCTTGGAAACTTCGATGTTTTCACATTTCCGTCGGCATTCACAGGAAGCCGAAGTCGTCGCGGAGAAAGAGCAAACCTCAAACGGAAAGATATCCGTCAAGGACGCTCTACGCTCTTCAGAGTCGGTAGATGATGCAGCCGGTGTCATCTGTAATGGGCTACTTGGGTACCTAGCAAGCAGATCCGGCGTATCTGTGGAGAACTTCAGTTCCGAAATGTCTCTTACGGAATGTGGTGTAGATTCCATTGTCGCAGTAGATGTGCGAAACTGGATTGCACGTGAGTTGGAAAGTTCCATACCACTTTTGGAGTTACTGGCAAATCACTCTTTGTCACAGCTCAGCGTGGATATTGCTTCACGCTCGAAATTAGTGCCGGTTGAGGTCAAATCACGCGGAGCCACGGCTACATAGTAAACTTTTAGAAGTAGTATAAAAAGTAATTCCTTCATCATATAGTAGAGAATCATATCCACGTACATAACATTGATCAAATTCCTTCGTCTCATTGAACTGTGCAGTAATATTAGTTTCCGCTTTTGGAAAGTTTTCTTAGTTAATTTCTATCACAAGCTATTATGACATTCTCAAACACTGGAATCATTTCCAGCAATTGGAAAATTGGCAAACACTACTCGATAGAAAAAACACTATTTCCGTCGGTCACTAAAGACCGCGGTTCCTAAAGTCCACAGTAAACTCCGTGAGCCGACAAGTCCAGCATCGGTGTTTGCCTCCTCGGCTCACTCAGCCGAAATGTGGCACTCTCAGCCGATCTCGCTTCCGACACTACAACGCGAACAAGAGCCACATCATGATCTTTTTGTCCGCCAAGCTCGACATCGAGATGATACTTGAATGCCTAAATGGCGCCGCTCCAGACGCGAATTGTAGCGCCTTGGAGAAACAAGTGCAAGCAAGCTCGATTCGACACGCGTAGCTACTATGGCACACCCACCAGACACAGTGCGACCGGACAGTGAGCCGGCAGTATCGAGAAGAGCAAGCACCGACTCAGCAACCACAAACACCAAGACCGAACCTACATCACTACCAAATCATGACCTTGAAGACAAACGCTCAAACACCGAAGATGAAGGTCAACCACCAAGACACGTCGAAGCGACGGTGAACACAGTGTCAAAAGTCGAGACTCAGAGCAAACCATTCTCGATCTTTACCCATCACCAAAAGCTCGGCATCGTTATGGCAGCTGCTACTGCAGCCTTCTTCTCGCCATTGACAGCTTCAGTCTACCTGCCAGCACTGCCTGTTATCGCCAAAGAGTTCGGTGTCTCGTATTCCTCTATCAACCTGACGGTTACAACGTACATGGTGAGTTTACCTACTATGCTCTAGATACATAATCTCCTGCTAACCAATAGACAAAAAGATATTCCAAGGCATCACACCAATGTTCGTGGGGGCCTATGCCGACTCAGCAGGGCGGCGACCAGCCTACATGTTCTGCTTCGTCGTGTACATGGCAGCCAATATCGGGTGCGCACTCGCGCCCAACTACCCAGCGCTACTCGTCCTGCGCATGCTGCAATCCGCAGGCTCCAGTACGACTGTGGCTTTGGCGCAGGGCGTCGTGTCCGACATCATCACGTCTGCCGAGCGTGGCAGATACGTGAGCTACATGTCAACGCCAGTCTTGCTGGGGCCCTCGCTGGGCCCCGTTCTGGGCGGCACGCTCGCACAGTATCTTGGGTGGCGGTGGATTTTCTGGATCCTAACCATCATGTGCGGGACGTTGACTGTGGTCTTCATAATGTGGATGCCCGAGACATGTCGCGGGATCGTGGGTGACGGGTCTGTTCGGCCCAAGCATATTGTCCACAGGTCACTTTGGCAGGTCGGCAAGGACGTGCTGGCGACGAGATCAAGTCGCAAACAACAGACCCAAAGTAATGGACAGGACGAAGAGCAATCGGTTGCCGAACCATCGCCTCCCGGGCACCAAGCCGTCACCAAGCACAAATTCAAGGCCTTGCACGCTCTGATGCTGCTCCTACGGCCCAACATGGCCTTCTTGCTACTCTACAGCAGCCTCATTTTCGCCAACTTCTACTGCATCATGACTTCGATCCCCGCCCAGTTCACCTCAATCTACCACCTGACTGACCTCCAGACCGGGCTCATCTACCTCCCGCTCGGCTTAGGCACGATAGTGGGCTCACAGGTTGCTGGGCGCAGTCTGGACTGGAACTTCAGGCGACACTGCAATCTGCTCGGCCTCCCCTATGAGCGCAAGAGGCAACAGGACCTCTCTTCGTTTCCTATCGAGCGCGCGCGTCTCGAGGTTGGCGTTCCTGCCCTTATCTTGGGTACCTGTGTGGTCCTGGTCTGGGGCTGGGTTCTCCATGCTCGGACGCACCTCGCCGTTCCTTGCGTGATGCTGTTTCTCGCAGGTGTAGGACTAACGGGGTTCAGCAACGTCGTCAGCACACTCATTGTGGACATGAACCCCACGGCTGCGAGCGCGGCGACTGCGAGTAACAACTTCACGCGCTGCCTTGTGGGTGCTGGTGCGAGTGCCGCGATTCAGCCCATGATTGACGGGGTGGGCAGTGGATGGGCTTTTACAATCCTCGCAGGGATTAGTACGGTTGCGTCTCCACTTACTCTTTATACGTTGTTGAAGAAAGGCATGGGGTGGCGGAAGGAGCGGGAGGAGAAGAGGAAGCAGCAGGCTGAGGTTTTGGAAAAGACCAGAAGGGAGGATGCTGTCCAGCAAAGCGAAGAGAAAACTTCCTGAATAACCATGCACAGAGACTGAACCAACATCTGTATTTAATCTTGAGCATAAATCATTAGCTAAAGCGCCGGTACATATACTAGATCGAAGAAACAGTCAGATTCACATCCAAGCCTATCATCTCTGCCACCTACTTGATCGACATCAAGTTTTGTGCTGTCGTGGCTCTGCCTATTATTCTCATTGTTTTGCCCAACCACTTAGATAAGTTGCATGATTTCCCGCAACACACTCCTTGGATACCGGTGCGATATATCGCAATCCCCTACAATAAGCTGATACTTCGCCAAGGCTCGGATAAGCTTCCGCACGCTTTGGTTGGCATACAGTATCCCAGCTCCCAAGTCCAACAAACTTTAATGCGGGCCGACCCGTCTTACAATACCCAGGCTGCTGACTGAAGGTTTGACCCGCCCCACCTTTCTGCCATGGCTAGTCAGATATACAAAGGTGAGCATCGCAACATCAACGATCCAGCAATCTAACTTGAGACTCGAACATCTCGGAGGCATATTGGGATCCGACAGACATGTCGATGTCGCGGCTGTGATAAGAACTCATCCGTGATAAGTATTCTAAAGTCACAAAATCTATCTCGGAAGTCACACCCATGAATGACATGGCTGTGTGCATCTCTGATGGCGAGTTCTTCGGCGACGCTATACCGTTAGACTTTGGCGAATGGTTAGATTCACCGCTCTTAAAGAAGTCGGCTTACGGATCCTGAACATCGAAACCCCAGATGAAGTCGTCGAGAAATCCCCAGTCGGTCTCAAGCATAGAGTCCGTACTCATGGTCCCTGTAGAAGAGAGAGAAAGCTCAGTCTCGGCTGGCGGCACTATCGGGCCACCAATATTCACTGGCATACCGGTCTGGTGCTGTTGTTGTGACTGGAAATGCTGCTGGTCCTGCTGGGCCGCTTGAAACCTGGTAGGACCACCATCAGGACCACTCGTTTCGGTAGAGCTCGCCGATGGCGTCTGCTGCTGGTGTTGCGTGTGACTAACAGTCTCACCTATACCGACATGCATTCCAAGACTCTGCGTCTGAGGCTGTGGCTTATACGGTCCCATATGCACGGGGCCGTGCTTGCTTTTCCAGCGTATCATAAAATCCCACCCTAAGGCTGCTACCATGCGCTGGCGAAACATCTCAACTAGTACAGGCTCATAGTCTGGACTAGCTACAGACGAGGCAGCTTGGTCGCTACTGTCGTGGTTCTCATTGTCATTACCTATTGCTGAATTGAAAGGGTTTACAGCGGCGGCAGCGGCGGCGAGGTACGGTGCGCTTGTTGCATCCCAAAGCTCGACGCACCGTGCGAGTCTCCATGCCAGATCCCCTTCAACAGCTGAGATGCGGCGTGAGATTGTGACTGTGTGAGTGGATAGTTTAGCCGCTTCTTCGGGGACGACGATATGCAGGTATCTCAGAGGCAGGTCGGAGCGAATGACACGGAAAATGACGGCGATGGCATGCGCAATGGGGCGAATAGTGTAGTGCGGGAGGTAGTGCAGGAGATTTGTCGTCTCGTCGAGGTCCATTGCTCTAGTGATGACGGTTGACGCTGTAGTGTAGCATCGGAGAACGTCAGCTTCAATGGAGGGAGAAAGGTTATCTCGACCGCTGACTGAGCCAACGGCGGTGGATGATCGACTGTTTTGGATGGGTATTGGGAGAAAATAGTACATCTGGACCTCGAGGAGAACAAATAGGGTGTGCAGGGATAATACTGGATCTGCATGCCGTAAGTAACCAACTACATAGAACGTCAAAAGGACAAAAAAAGGATGGCTTACCCGTGTGTTTGGTGATGATTCGTGCTCGAGCTGCGACCCATTCATCCTCGAACATTCGGACTAACTCACGTGGTACTCCGTTGGACTCTTCAAGAGAAGAGCCTAGCGTCTTGTTGACTCGGTCCATAAAGATCTGACATTCGAGCTGTACGCGAAAGCTGACGGGGAGAAGGCGACCTTCGTCATGGGTCATGTTCAACGTGGCCTTGTTCATTGGAGCGGTGCATGGGAGGCCAAGGTTGGTTGATAGCCTGCCAAGGTTTGATCAGCTAAAAGAGTCTTATCGGCAACGCAGACTTGGAATGTACCTTCTATTTACAATACTAGACGCCGCCCATGTAACGGCAGCTTCGGTATCAGATGAAATGGTACCGAGAGTGACATGGTTGTACTCCGGGTGCCTGCCGGAAGCTGTGTGGAAGCCGAGCAGCAGGCACGAGCTGATGGAAATGCCACTCAACCAGTAGGCCGGATCATTGATGAAACGGACACCCGGGTACAAGCCCCAAGCGGCGACGAGGAGTATGGCGTGAAGTTGAGCGAGAGGCTGAGGCACCTTGGGGACAGCGGCATCAGTCTCGTGCTTGACGTACTCTGTGAGTAGGCGGATCGTGGCAGAGTTGGTGTGTGTAGGCCGACGGCGGCAAGAAACGAGGACAATGACCCAGAAAAGAAAAGGGCTTGTCTCGTAACACTTGTTTGGGTCACGTGGGCTGGGGATGGGGAAGTGGGGGTGGAAATGGCGAAAGTAGCTGCATGGCATCATTAGTCGTGTTCACAGCAACGCAACATAATGAGACACGCATACATGTTGAAATACTCATCAATATCTGGCCCCGCGAAGGGCTGTGAGTCGAGCGCCCTGTGCAGGCTGGACACTGCCGCATGGTTGACTTGTGCATTGTCGTCAATGACAACAACGGCGTTGTCACCACGACGACTATTGTGCTCTGATGTAGCGGCAGACAAAGCCGGTGAAACACTGGACGACGAAGCCTCGTTACCGCCCTGCACTCTCGGTGACCAGGTGCTCGGGCTTGATGGTGTCTGGAGTGCTGGCTGTCTACTGTTGCTGTCTACCACCACCACCGTCTCCCTGATGGCCTGCACCTCACGGGCAAGCTGGTCAAGTTGGCTGTCGAAGTGCCATGTCAGTTAATGATACCACGCCTAGCATGGACAAAGTACCCTTGAGACAAGAAAGAAACTAACCTCTTGCGTGTGACGCGGCGGCATGTGGGATTGACGACACATGAAAGGTTGAGCTTGGTGCAGCGCTGGCATGGCCGACCGGCGACGGAACTGGGGTTGCAGCGCACCTTGGAGGTACGACAGTGGGTGCAGGCCGCATTGCGCGACATACGCGTACTCCGGCCGGGCGAACTGCTTGCGCCCTCTGCCATGGCCGCCGCTGTCATTCACTGAGTCGGGGCTGGAAATCAGTATGCGCGCGCATATGGGTGTGTTTACAAGAGGTGTTGTCGGCTGAGAGCGGCTCGGCTCGGCTGACGGCTTAGGTGACGTGGGCCGTCATAACTCCGCACTGGATGCCGGCATCCAACAGTAAAACCTCTAGCGACTTACGCACAATGATGCAAAGTATGCATACTGCTTCATGTATCTTTGTCTGGGAAAATGACATCATGTTCAGTTACATGCATCATCTATGCCTGCGCTCCTCTAACGCCCACTTGCTCCCTTACACACGTACTACTAGTGTAGTTGACAACATTCATCATTCCTAGATACCCAACCATCAACATCTCCGCCATGAGGCCGAGTATCGTCATATATGGCTCCGCTGCACATACCAGATGGTCTTGTTTTCTGTTGAATACTCTTCATGACCCTAACCCCGGGGGATGATAGTACTTAGGCACACCATGATCGTCAACTACCCGTCAGCCGAATCGGCTCCGAACACTCTGCCCCAAACTCCACCCTTAACTCCATCATGTCGTGCCTCACCAGAAGGCACCGTGTAAATAAAACGCGAGAATACACCCCGTGAATCATAAACAAATTTCTTTTTCACGTCCTATTGAAATCACACACGCCCACAACACCATCATTTCACAGTGTTTGTGTCACATCATTTTCCTCTAAGCACTTTTCATCATGGCTTCCTTTGCAACCACCAACACCGCCCTCATCTTGCTTGACATACAAAAAGGCATCATGATGGGCAATTTCCCAGACAAGACACCGGGATTCGTCAGCAAAGCAGCCAAGCTACTCGAGGCCGTGCGATCCGCCAACAAGTCTGGCAACAAAGCGCCCATTACCGTTGTACATGTAAAAGTTGCCTTTCGGCCCGGCCGACCAGAGCTCAACCCCGTGAGCAACATGGGCGAGCGACTCAAAAATGTTCCCGCCAACGTCTTTGTCGAGGGTGATCAGTCTGTGGCCCTCTTTGACGAGCTTACCCTTGCCCCCAAGGCAGACGGAGCCGACGCTGCTGGGCATGCAAGCCAAGACGACGTCTTCGTTACCAAGCGTCGTGTCTCTGCCTTGTCCGGCACAGACCTAGCCACTATCCTGCGCGGGCGCGGGGTGGGCCATCTCGTGCTGTGCGGCGTCGCTACTGCAGGCGCCGTGCTGTCAACCGTCCGCGAGGCTGCGGATCTGGATTACAAGCTTACCGTCCTCAAGGACCTTTGCTTGGACAAGGACGAAGATGTTCACAAGCTGCTAATGGAGAAAGTGTTCCCCGTGCAAGCCGAGGTAGTGGAAACAGACGAGTGGGTTACTCGAGGCTTTGCCTGAAGAGGTGAGAGGGCATGGTAGTCAGGCACGTACGTCGTGCGGTTTATATCTACCTAGCAAGCGATGCATGTATCTCATTGCACATTCTCTCCAAGAACTTTAGGGCAACAGTCAAAGATTTTGAATTATCATTTACACGCCACTACAGCTTAATCAAAGGGTACTATATAGAGAGAATTGGTCTATTACGTTTTTCCCATAGTATGTCCGATACTTTTAGGAAAAGAACGTAAAGTAGTCGAAGTAACTAGAGAAAAAAGATTAATGTACCCTCGAGTCGAGATAGAAAAAATTGTTAGTAGAAATGCGGTGTATCAGAACTATTAGATATAATCGTGAACTATCAAATGTTAAGCTTTTCGTGGCCGTTTCGATGAGGGAAACATTCGTCTTTCGGTTCAAGATGTAATAATGGTAATTGACGCATAGTGATAAAAGACTAAGAACGTCTAAATAATGAATCTTCTCGGCCGTAAAGCATTTATCCCTCCAACTGCAGCTTCGATTAGTTCCGTTTAGACACAATTTAAGAAGATTATTAGTGGGGAGGCTGATGATAAGAGACGCGCACTACATGACTCTGCGACACGGCAGTGTTCGCCCTACCCACCCAAAGTAATAAAAACTTTAGAAGCAGAGAAAGAAGAACATGGAAAAACCCCGCATTCAGTTGTGCAATAGTGCGTGCTAATATCCGTATAACACCAAGCTAGACCCTATGCTCAGCTTGTCATTGGTGCTCATCCCTCCCTAAGCAATTGTAGTTGTGACGGCATTTGCAGCTAGCCCATTGCGACATCAAGGGCTACCACAACAATGGCATGTTAAGTAAGCTCAAAAATACTTCAAAAGCATATATACAAACATTCCTCCTATATAGTCTAGTATGTACACATGCCAAACAGTACTACAGCAGAACACACGCCCAGCCTACAGTTGTCAATGCCAACAGCCAATTGACCCTATTTCACCGAGCAAAGAAGGTTTGCCTTGAGATCATCGCAATCGGCACATGGAACTCTCACCGCAGCGTCTGATGCAACTGATCGGAAAAATCCAAGCTGAGCCACTTGGGGAGACATCAAAGCCCATGCGTCGCGTTTTAGTCAGTAGAAATAGCACGAGTCGAGTCTCGGGATTTTGCGACCTCAAATGAGTAGCAATAGCCCGAATAGCACCGTAACCTAATCTGTATCTTCATCTGAGAGGAAAAATTCTGAAAGGATCAAAATCCGGCTAGAAGAAAGAAACTTGATGAGCTGTCACGTTGGTCTCAGCAATACATGCCACATAATCCGGGTGTGAAGAACGCGGAGGGGCGCTAAGCAATCTCAACAATAGTGAATCCAGTTCAAAACGTGTATACCACTATGAAATTAAGATGTAATTAATTTTACAACACTTAGTGATAGCTCCGCAACATCTACAATCAAAGCACAGCCTTGCAATAGCGCGATTTATGCCAAAAAAAAACCATGACTAGCCTCAACCACGGCGAGGATGCGGGATTTCTCACAGAAACATTTATCATTGCTTTCTCTATACCGCCTAAAAGGCTATATCTTCATGTATAAAAGCAAAGATCCTGTCCACTCTTCGTCACTCAACACTCAGAATCATGACTTGAACACTATACCTCACCTATATTACAACTCTCATAATAAAGACCTTCACGAAAGCTCAAAATGGTCCGCATCTCCCTCTTGGCCAGCTTCCTCGCCCTCCTTGTCACATCAGAGGCCTGCAACGGCTACTTTCAGTGCAAATACACCGATGGATCCCACTGCTGTGTACGTTTTGACCTCCCTTTTTTTTAAAAAAAAAACTCTTCATTAGTTTGCCAGAGTAACTACTAATACTCATTCCCAAATAGGTGATTCGAAGCAGCAAGGGACGAGATGCTTGCCCTTCGAAGTGCGATGGAGCCACTAATGGATGGCCGCCCGAGTGAATTAGCACGCTTGTTGGTAACAAGCGACTCTTGTATGTTATACTATTCTTTTTTCTTTTCTTCCCGACTCTTGGAAGACTGCGGGCTAATACATATGCTTTAGGTGCGAATAAGGGGCCGAGGAGCGGATAAAGTGGAGTAGCCGTCGATGGATTGAATGCGATGACGGGCATGTTGTAATCCATGGATTATGAATGATAATAAGTGTAGATTCTAATAAACCCCATGCCCGCTCGTGTGTTCGAACAGGTACATTGTGTTAGTTGTCGTATTTGTGAGAGACATGTATACCAACCAAGTGTACGGAATATGTATATTTCAGAATGTATCGTACATTTCCATGCTCTACATACAGCTCTGGCCTCCAGCGATGGAACCCCCCAAAGTAGCATTCCCCACCGCCCTTTGAGGGTAAGGACACAGCAGATTCGTCTTGTTGACAGTATTGACAGCATCCAAAGAATCAGGAGCGACACCTTGCTCGACCCATTTCACAAGCGCATCCATAACACCAAATGGCTGCCCACCGGCTCCTCCAGTACAATGGCTTAGCCCTGGAGCCTCGAATAGTCGGAAGAAATCGTGTACATCAGGCGAGATTTCTTTCACGGCGTCGTAGTAATGTCTCGTGTTGCGGAATGGGATACCGTTGTCAGCCTATTTCTCACATTAGTACTCGGACATTCAAAAAAATCTTCATGATATAGGCGAAACTCACCATTCCATGATACGTAATCATCTTCCCACCTGCGCGATGGAAATCCCGCAAGTCCGGATCACCAGTCCCGATTATCGAGTCGAACTCTCGAATGCCCTGGAGAAACACTTGTTCGTAGTCTTTTCTCGACATGGTCCTCGCATCGAATTTGGCGTCCTTTTTTACAAACAACCTGATCCAGTCGGTCCATGTCGTCCTCGGCACAGCGGTGCATGTTCCATTTGCCGAACAGGTCGTCTGCGCAGGACATTCTTCAGCGGTGAGATTGGTCTCGAAGCCGTGCGAATACCAGAGTTGGGAGCCGTCGCTTGCGCGAGCGCCACTCCATGCTGCTTCGGCGACCTTGGCTGCGGCTTCTGAAACGCTTACGGTGGACCCAGTAGCACCGGGACAGTCAATTGTCTTTCCGACCATGGAGTAAGGGTTGAACTGGCAAGCGTCTGGGTTCGAGATGAGTCCATCCAGGGCGCCATCGTGGCCGTCACAGGCTTTGATAGCAGCGGTAGTGAGTGCATCAAGCTCACATGGACGAGGGTATCTGCCCATCTCGCTCATGACCTGTTGTGGATAGTATGCTGAGATGAAGAGCTGCGAGTAGTATATCGCAGGTGCCGCAGCCGCGATACCATCATACAAGTCGGGATACCGTTGCGCAGCCATTATGCCCTGCCGTCCTCCTTGCGAACACCCGCTGAAATACGAATACTTTGGAACTGTGCCGTAAAAGTCCTTTATGATACTTTTCGCGGCCAGTGTGGCGTCGCTGATGGAAACAGATGCAAAGTTTTGGAGCGCATAGAGATTGACGTTTCCAGGGCTCAGCAATGCCCAGTCGTCAGCGATGTTTGATATTGGAACTCCAGCATCCGTAGCCACTGTCGCGTATCCTCCCGCTAGGCCTGCATACATGCGTTCGTCAATGACTGGGTGAAGGCCCGCTACCCACCCTCCGCCGCCGATACCTTGGAGGCGGTGATTCCAGGTCGGTTTTATAGGTAGGAAGATCTTAGTCGTAACCTTGTCGTTGGTGCCTGGGTGCGTATGGGTGATAGTGACGTTGCAGAACTGCAGATTTTGTGCATCGACATCGCCGGAGTTTGGATTGTTGGAGTACGGCACGAAGGTGGAGTGATTCTCAACTATGGAAGCCGCAATGCTTTGGAACTCTGCGCCATAGACACCAGGCAATGTGAAGGCGCTCGACTCGCAGTTCCTTACGATGGAGTCCATGGCGTGGAAGTTGATTTGTTGCGTATAGTCGTATTCGAGCGGAGGATGTGCTGCCATGGCTTTTATATCGTAAATTCGTTCTTTGTTCCTGTGGGGACCTCATCTTCACAGTCGTCTGTCACTCTAAGTATATGCGTTCACCGTTTCAGTGAATGGTGAACATGCCTTTTCACAATCAAAAGTAGATGAGTTGACATATACCTTTCATCTATTGTCTAAGTCAGATTGGCCAAAAGGACATAATCATGGTGATAAGGAGATGCAGCATGCCGTATGTGAATCAAGTGCTTACAAAACTGGCGCGCCTTTCTTGACTGCGAATCTGTTGTGGTAGTTGCCCAGGATGTTTCATTTGTTCTTTGTACATAAGACACTATATTTTAATGAAGTGGCGCATACTCCAAACATGTCGCTTGCACGCCTTACCATAATCCAATCCTGACTGTCAGGTCGTTGTACGGCTTTTCCATGACTTTCATAGTGGTATAGGTATTTCTTAAGCTTATCGTGAGATCATAGAGAGATTCAGTTTAGGCATAAGACGTCGGACGAGGTTTCGTGGCTGATGGCTAGCGGGGGACCGTTACGCGGGCCCGCTGCATAGTAACAGTAAGCAAGGACTTCGGGTACTTAGCAGTAATAGTACTAGTAGTAAGTACTACACGTGTAGACTAGTCTACTCCTACTTACCGGGAGCATCTATGCGAAAAGCCGGTAATTGTGAGGACGGGTGAAAAAGTACAAAACAGCAACGCCAAACACGGCTACTTCTTCATAAACGAGAAATGTTCCTTGCAAATATTGAGACGGCTTCGACTGTTGGATTCTTGTAGGAGGCGAGACTGCAGGGGGCCAAAATACAGCCGTGGCACGAACTAGCCCGTGGTGGGCAACTTGCTCAAACTGCCTCATGCATGCGCCTGGTTTCGCCCAGGAATACGCCTTCTCCTACGGCTCATTCCTGATGGGTAAATCCGCATACTGTAAATCCACATGTACAGCACCGCGTAGCATTAGCCTGCCACTAATGTGGACTTGATTGCCCGTCGTCGCCAATCCTACATCTAGCTGCCTGGTTGACGGGATTGCCTCTGCATCCTTCGGTTCCTGCAGCTAGGCTGAAGCTGGCGACAGGATGAGATGAGGGCATTTGTTACCAGATACAAAGTCATTGCAACCAAAATGTCCTCCTGGATCTTCCGTCATCCGCTCTCTACGCACATATGGGCCTCAGTAACATTGCTTGGTCATGACATTCACACAGCTCGTCAAGGCTCTTTGCCTCTGGTCTCTCCTCCTAGCACCTTTTACCCTCGGCCAGAATACCTCGGACCATGAGTTTAACAAGAACAGGACCCTGAGTATCGGCATTGTACGTCGTACACCACCTGTACCTCCTCTTCAAGTCTCAAAATCATTACGACTGACCTTTTTTTCCAAGATCATCTTCGATGGCTTTGAGCCCATCGAAGTCTGGGGACCGCTTGAATACCTAACATCCGTAAGTTATCCACCCATGTACAAGCTGCATCATCACTGACACTGCCCACAAAGCTCTCAGCCTTCTACAGTATGACCCTCTCCATCATCTCATACCAGAAAGGCACCGTCAGTGCGCGTCTCCAACCGCATCTGGGTGGTGATTTCAGCAGCACGCTCGGCGCAGAAACAGCAGTTACGCATACGTTTGCCGACGCCCCAGCTCTCGATGCCATTCTGGTTCCCGGTGGAACAGGCGTCATCAACGCTACCTTGAGCAACAGGACTGAGATTGAAGAGTTCCTTGTTCGTCGCGCCGGCCAGGCTGAATATATTCTCGGGCTTTCATTTGGAGTAACGCACCTGGCGCGGTCGGGTCTTCTTAACGGTAAACGCGCCACGACAAATAAGAGCGGGTATCAATGGATTATGGGCTATGGTCCAGAAGTTGAATGGGTCCCGCAGGCGCGGTGGGTTGTTGATGGCAAGTTCTGGACCGCTTCTGGCATGATGGCTAGCTTGGACATGACATATGCCTGGTTGTCCCACGTTTATGGGGCTGAAGGGGCGGTAAATCAGCAAACGAATGGTATCGAGTATGCTCCACATCTTGATTCTTCGTGGGACCCTTACGCTGTCGTTTTCAATGTCAGTCTAGACCAAGTTCCCTCCTGAAACCTATTTGTCTTGTGCTGATTGCTGATATCCCACAGGTTCCTGGTGCGAATGCGAGCAGGCCCTCCCAAGATTGTGTTGGACCCATTGGGACATGAGTGAATGGCACGATAATAAGTCAATCTCACATTTGGTACCTGGGCCTGAGGTCGTCGGGAAAACGCCAGTTTGCTAAGATCATATGGACACTTCACGCTCAGAAGAGCGAGCTGCGGCTTTTCATCTTTTGTGTCTCAATACTAGCTCCTCTGTCTCGCAATTCGATGAGAAAGATGACATGGTACAGCTTCCAAATTCTGAAGATCCGGTCGCCACTGCCATGCTTTCCCTGACAATGTCTTTAAAAAATCCATGATACAATTACACCGAGGGTTGACGCTTCGAAGCCCAAATACATAATATATCGAGCGCTCCTTCCTTCATAACGCCAAAGACATCTTCCACAAAATAAAAGCAGACGTATCTCTTGAAAAGCTCTAAGAAGACGGGGCGTACTGTTCCGTCATGTCGATATCTCCATACCCCCAGTCAGACCTTCGGTAGGTAGCCTTGCACAAAAGGGCAAGTTCGAAATCCAGTTTTTCAAAGCACCAGTAGTACCCTTTTCATCCTTTCTTTTCTCTTGCATACTTTGCTCCATGCTACGCAGCAGCCTTACTCCTAACCTCCAACTTCCTCGGTTTCTTCTTCTCTTTCACCGCACCACCATCCCCTCCTTCCCCTCCCTGCTCCTTCCTCCGCCTCTCAATCTCCTCCGCAGCCCGTCTCAAAGCCTCAGGATCCGGAATCCCATCTTCTTCCCCAGCCATCCTCTCCTCCATCTCTTCATCCACCTTCTTCTCGTCCTCCCCGTCCTCCCCCTCTTTCTTGCCATCCCCATCCTCCCCATCCTTTCCTTCCCCCTCCTTCTTCCCCCCAAGTTTTATCCACGGCCCATGTACACCCCCAACACCCGCTCCAACCAGCGTCCCGACCGCCGTCGTAGGAATCGTCGCCACAGTCCCGACCAACGTGCCCACAACTGTCCCCAGCCCAGCTCCAACAGCCATGCCAATCCCGCCACCCCCCATACTCCCCTGAAACGCCCCCGAACTCAGCATCCGCGCCTTCTTGCTATTGCCGTGGGCCTCGATTTCTTTCTCGTACGCATCGCGCAAGTACTTTTCGCGTTTGGCGGGGTCTTTGATGGTTTCGGCGGCGGCGCGGAGGGAAGAGGCAGTTTTGGCGGAGGCAAGGGCGGACTCGGCGCTCGCGGCGGCTTGTTTTAGCTTGTCTTCTGGACTGTCTGATTTGGCGGCGATGTTCTTGAGCTCATCTTCGGGGACAGAGGAAGGAGTCTGCTGGTTGAGCTTCTTGGGTGGCATCGTCAGGGGGAGGGCACCGCTGTTTGGGAAAGATTTTGTCGGGTGTATTGTGTGAGAATTAAATATATATCACAGAAATGCCATGGTGGGAACCGCATGTAAACTGGAAAGAGGTGTGCCATTATCTCAAGTGAGATGTCTGCTCTGACGTCATCCGTCACCCGTCACGTCTCCGCGGTTCAAAACTTGGAATACGCGTACTACTACGACAGCAAAACAAATACAATATCATCACATGAACTAGATCATAACTCGCTTTGGATGGATACATGGATAATGTTGTATTAAGTCTGCAGACCGAGCATCAACTATGAACATGCCATGGTCGCATTAATGTATGTGCTAACTACTTACTTATTGCTTATTCCCAAGTCAGTATCCAGTTGCCCTGCCAAGCTCCGGAACTTGTCAATTCATTGAGTCCCGTCAGCTTCAAAACGCTGCTAGTCTTGTTGTACTCAACATTGCTAGCATCGATCTCCTCACCATTCAGCTTGACGTGTTGGACCTCAGGAGCTCCCAACACTGTCACGTTGGCAAGTGCGTTGGTGTCCTCGAACTCGCCTTGAACATCAACCTCCAACTTTCCGCTCGTAGCAGCAAACGTAACATCCAGACACGACTCCGGCTCGATAGACTCACCATCATCAACGTATAGGTGACCAGATGCGGCGCCTTCGCTAGAGAGTGCGACAATGAGACCCCAGGAGTTCTGACGGGACTCGGTAGTCGTGTATCCAGGCTCTTGAATAGGCAAAACTGAACCTCCACGAATGTATACAGGGATGTGGCCCAAAGGTGCTGAGATAGTTGTGTTTACGCCAGCCTCAGCCTGGACACGCTCGCCAGAATACCAGTCAAACCATGTCTCGCCGTCAACAATACCAGGGAACACCCCCTTGACAGTATCAACTTGAGGCTCGAGGACAGGCGTAACGAGAATGTTTGGTCCTAGTAAAAACTGGGTATCCACACCAGCAAGTTGGGGCTCGTTGGGGAATTCCCATGCCAGCGCCCGCATCACAGTTGACCCCGTCTTGTGAGCGTCATTGAATAGCGTGTACATGTATGGCAACAGAGAGTAGCGGGTATGCATTGCGGTCCTTGAAGCAGAAGCCACAGCCTCCCATCGGTAGGGCTCTTGGGGAATGGCGGAGAGTACGTTGTGGTTGCGGTAGAAGGGGAAAAAGGCCGAAAGCTGCATCCATCGAGAGCAAAGCTCCATGTCAGTGTTTCCGTTGAATCCGCAAGTATCGACACCAAACATTGGAATGCCGAATAGGGAGAAAGAAAGTGCTTGAGGAATCGAAAAGAACATGTAGGCCCATCTGGAGGCGTTGTCGCCACCCCAATGACCAGCCCACTTGCCACTGCCAGCAAATGTAGAACGTCCAATAATAAAAGGCCGCTTTCTAGGGAACACCGAAAGGAGACCTTGGTAAGTAGCATTGATGATCTGGTGACCGAAGAGGTTGTGGACATCGTATTCTTCCACGCCATTCGCGTGGGTTGCATTGGGGCTGACAGCATGAACAGCAAGATCAGCGCCATCTTGGACGTGGTTGATGACATAAGGAGGGTAGTTGACGTTTCGCTCCCCAGCGGTAGGGGTTGAGCGGAAGTAGCTAGTCGAAGTAGAAGTCGCGTCGTCAGTCACCGTTGCCGTCGCAGTTTCCTTCCTGGACGCTTGAGCAGAAGCTGCTGCAGAAGCGGAAGCCGCCTCAGTGCCATTTGTGATGTTGAAGCTCTCCGGGTAATCATAGATGACGTTGTTCACTTCACCGGGAAGCGAGAATGGCGGATGAGCCGGGTTCAGGGTGACGTTGCCGGTACCGCAGGATCCGACGCAGAAAGAAGAGACTTCAGTCATGTCAACCCAGAAACCGCTATATGGCACCTCTTTGTACCACTCGACCATCTCCTTTACCCACCACGATACACCATTAGGCGATAACCAATCAGGGAAGACGGTATATCCAGGCCAAACAGCACCGATATATTGACTGCCATCTGGGTTGGACAAGAACACACCAGACTCATTGCCGCGCGTATACGTGTCATATGCATCGCTTGCGTTTTGTGGGTTGGGAATGTAAATGGCTGCATCAACGATTGGTACGAAATGTTGGTTGTTTCCATGCAGCCATCCAAAGAAGTCGGCTACTTCAGAGGGAGGGAAGCTGACGGGATCCAGTGTAAAGTCACGGTACTGGTCCATGTAGTCAATGTCAAGCCAGATAGTTTCTGCATGATGATTAGCAAGTGTGCAACTACACTCATCAGAAATGCGCTAGAGGTGGACTTGCCCATTGGGATGTTGAAAGCTCTCATGGTCTCAACGATTTCTCTAGTCTCGGTCCAGTTGCGGTAACCCCAACGGCATTGATGAAAGCCAAAAGTCCAGTATTGCTGCATTGCTGGCAGGCCGATAGCCGACTTTTGATACGCCTTGGTGACATCGGGCTGTGAAGGTCCATCGAAGAAGTACAAATCAATGGCACCTCCCAAGGTCCTCCAAGTCAGGTGATCAGGTTTCAGCACTATATCCATACCGTGGGTGTTGCGGTAATAAACGCCGTGAGAACGCGACTCGTAAGGCGAACCATTTGTTTTGACATCTTTCTTCTGACCGATCTCGGACTGCGTCAAGGGCTTAGTGCTCCGGTTCTGGCCCTTCTCAAAGTAGCGGGTCTCTAGGTAAAAAGGATGACTACCGTAGAGGTTGCGATCGATTGGATCACCTACGTCAGCAGCGTAGATGGTCGCAGTGAAGTTGTTGTTGAGACGAAGACCGTGAATTCGCTCGCCCAGACCGTAGAGGTTGTAGTCCTCTGGAAGGCTGTTTATAAACTCAACAAACTGATTTTCGTAAATGAGTTTGGTGCCTTGGGTTGTGAAGATGACGTCTCCAGTCGAGGAGCGCTCGACATTGAACCAAAATGATGGCTCGTTTCCCCCTGCATACTTGTCAGCTCATTTTCTTGACCAATGGCAATACTGTATTAATGAAATCAACGGTGCCAAAATGGTGGAACAAATTCCAAGTAACTCACAGGTGAACTTGAGGTCGGTCTGCTCGGATGATTCCTCGACCTGAGGACGCGGAATGAGATCTTCGGGGACGATCCAATGCGATTGGTTGTTTGCATCAGTGTACTTGGGTACGATATTGACTGACAGCCTCCCCTTTGCTTGGTACTCGACTTTCAAGTCTAGCTCCTGGATATCGGTGCCGTAAACATTGCATGGCTTTCCAGCTAAGGTCAACGTGGCGGTGAGGCCGCGATCGCTCTGCTGAAGGTTTGATGCTGTGTAACCAGGGCAAACATCTTGCGCATCAACGGCCTGAGCATCATAGATGTTGGGAATCTGTTGAACGCCCTTGTCCGCAGATGGGGGAATGGTAAAGACGGGGTTGAAGTAGGTGGGCGTGCCAGCCAGGGTGGTGCTCCATCCACCATTCGAAGAAGTGGTGGGCGCTTGGCCAGCTGTGAGTGCGAGAAGAGAGGACAGCACGGCAGAAGCTTGGGCGAAGCTTGTGTGCGTCATGATTGCGGTGCTGAGCCGGTCAAGAGCTGCCTGAAGATTCCCAGTGCCCCATGGTGGCCATCTCGTCTCTTTATAGTCATCGCTATTTGGTCGGTGAAGGATCTGCTGAGCCATAAAGAGCTACTATGTATCAATCAAGCATAGAGCAATTCTCTACAATGAGGTAGTCTGGAGTGACGATGGACAACATGGGAATGCAAGCCGGGCACAAGGGCATGGGGCTTGCATAAGTAAGGCGCGTGCGGGGAAAAACATGGAGTACCGCCCCGACATTGAACGAATGGGAATCCACCGGGGCGTGGTTTATCCGCGGAGACAGCACAAATGCGGACATGGGAATTACCTCTGCGAGTGTAACATGACGCAACGCCTATGGTATTGAGAAGCTTCCGGGTAAGAAGCTTGTAGCGGGTGGCTGGGTGTGAAGAAGCGACCTCGCAGGCTCATTGGTGAATATGCGCAGCACCTGCTTAATGTGGCATACATAGCTGAAAGCCCAGGACGCCACTCAAATAAACACATACCTAATGTATACGTTGAGGTAAAAGGACATGGGTGGCAGAGTACTGTGCATTTGCCTTTTTTTTTTGAAAGTGTCTCTAAAGATCTAGAATGCTTTGTCGATAGGTTGTAACTAAGTCTTGTCCCGATGCCGAGGACTCACGTGACGTGCGCATGTAGAATTCCAATACGAAGTGCATCTTGCAACCCCCACAGCATCGCGTCTTCTAGAATACAAGTACGCATAGGTGGAGCCTTCGGAAGAATTATCGGTACAGCCATCGTTCCCGTTTGCATCGCACCACCACCACCACCACCACCATGACAGCCCACCCTTCTCTAGTCGGATTCCCCAATACGGTGTACTGTGGGGTATCGTATCGCTTCCCCGCATCAGGGCCTCCTAGTGTCCCAAGTGCAAAGCTTAGAGAGCTTGTCACACAGCACGTCGTCGAGACACTTCTGCACCAAAGAGAGTATATGTATTGCATTGAAAAAATTATTTCTTTATTCGTTTTGGGTATTATTATGATTACATAAGTGTGCGTGGGCACGGATTATTGAATGTTCTACAACAGGGGGTGTGCTTTGCGTATGTATGATCCCTGGTCTGAACGCGCGCCTGGGGCACAAGGTATACTTTTCAGCGTCCTTGCGACCCGCATCCTTCCCGCACCACGACACTCTCCCCGTGCCCTCGTTGGTCCAAAGTCGGACACAAAAGCGCGCGGCATTGCGCATGCCTTAGACGCGCTCGGGAGATAACCGTTTCCGCTCTCAAGGTAGCTGGGCAATGTCGCGGCGGTAGGGTAATGCCTGAGGTTCATCAACCAACAAGGCCGGCTGGGGTCTTCTTACGGACCGTGAAGAATAGAGGGACAGAACCTAGCGTGTGTTTGCGCTCGGTATACTTGCTAGTTCAGGCTAAAGGTGAATAGCTCGTTGGTCTGTTGTCTTCGTTCCCTCGACGGAAAGTCAAAAATCGGGTAAGGCCCCCCTCGTCGGCAAGGTAAAGTCCCTCAGCAGGGAGCCAGCTTCTAGATTCACGTGTCTTGTGACTCGCAGTACTCATTGCCGATGTTCGTGATGAACTCTTTGCTTGTGTATTTTGTTTTTGTACATGTTGTTGTTGCGGTGGTGGTTTTGATTGTGATGATTGCCGGGGTGGCGGGGTATAAACAGTTGGTGATAAACGAAAGTTGGGGCTCGTGGGGCTGAACATGGCCGCCGAGCTTGGATGTAAATACGTGCCGGGTGCAATAGAAGATGCGCCGGGCGAAGAAGGCTCTGGTAACACGCCTAGGTCCATGGTTCTGGGCGTACTCTGAGGGAAAAGTGAAAGCGTCTTAGGAAACTTGGTCTGTGTGGGTGTTCGTGCACCATTTCCATTTGACGGTTCCTCAATGATGTCCTGGTACCAGTCGTATGAACGGAAGCTAAAGCTTGGGCTTGGGGGTGGAAGATCCGGTAAGGAGAGTTGGCGCGCTTTGCTGTCCGAGCTTGTAAACGTCTTGACGACAGGGCTTAATGGCTCTGGGCCGCCGTTTGGACCCCTATCTGACAATGGGACAGCGTCATTCTGCTGTTCCTTCTTCGGATACTGCCCGAGCTCGTACTCGGAACTTTGGAATCCAGGAGCAGGTGCTCTTGAAATCGCAATGGGCGGGGGGGCATTGGCAACAGGTGGAATATATTCTTCGAACTTGTACCGCGGTGCGCGATCACGCGGCGTTGCACTGCCGCGTGGAGTATCGTTGCCCCTCATCGGGCTCACAGCTTGCATCATATCTTCGTCCATGATCATGCTCTTGTTGATACTGACGTTAAGCGCGTAGATCTTGGTCTCCTTTGGTATGGGCGGAAGTGGAAGTTGTGGAAGGGGAAGGAGTGGTAGCGCTTTTCGGTCCATTGACCCATGTCTGCTGCCGGCAACCTCCTTGATCTCCTGAGGCGCTACGACCCTGGCGAAAAGTCCCGGATTCATAGCACTCTGAGAGTTGAAGGGTGGATATTGGGGACTATTCGGCATTGACGCCACCAAGGTCTTTTGATCTGTCGCATCGGAGGTGGTTCTGCTACGAGATTGTATGGGCGCTTCAATTGACTGGTTGCGGGGCCTTTGTGCCCGACGTTTCAATATCCAGACTGTAATTCCTGTTAATAACATTAAGAGGGCAACAAGTCCTGTCCCCATTCCAATAGCGGAGCCAGTGGTCAGCCGCGAGGTGGAATCAGCTCCCCCAAATGGAGCTGCACTGTCCATGGTGATACATCTCTCATTGGAGCATATCTTGTCCTTTGCGCAATCACTGTTCGTGGAACATGTTGCGATGGCTGGGGTGTTGGTGTAGAGAGAACTAGATGGAAATAAAGCTTCTGTAGGGCTGGGACTCTGGTCATCCGTTTCAAGTTGGCTGGTGGCGATTTCGGATGCTAAGTTGCTTTGCGACGTGCTTGTTGGCGATGAAGACGGTGTAGGTGTAGTGAATGTGGTGGATGTGGTGGATATGGATGTGGATGGTCCTGGTCTTGGTGTTGAGATGGTGCTAGATGTAGCAAAACTTCTTCGCGTTGAAGTGGGCGTAGTAGTCGATTGTCGTGTTCGACTGGTAACGAGTGTGGTAGACATTACTATTAAAGGAGGGAACAAAAAAGGATATACACTGTGTAAATGAATGGGGCGCCACGCCAATACTTCCGTTAGATACGGTTGGTATGAAAGCGTCTTTATGTCAAGAACATTGATGTCGGAAAAGCAAGGCCATGAACGAATGTAATCTTGGACGGGATCGCTGTGCACGTAGGGACGAAGATCCTCAGTCGAAGGAGGCCTTTGCGACGCAGACCGCTATGCAGGGCGACGCGGGTTAGTCCATATCTTGTAGGGTCCGGCGAGAGAGACTAAAGTTTATTGATGATTAGCGCACGGTGCTTAGGCCCACCTCCGGTTGGTGTCTGAAGATCCCTAGTGTTTGAACCAACGTCGCACTCGTCAAACCTTCTAACCCCCAATTTTGCTTTCCCCATGACCTAGGGCAGACAATGGCAAAGGACAAGAATTCAGTTGTTGTTTTTTCTTGATCTTGAGAACAATGTAACCCTTCCGGCTAGTTTGCGATGACTTGTCTTATCTGTAAATGATGCCATTGTTGGCTGTTTCCTCTGGCTAAATGCGGCTCTACGCAACTGCCGCCACAACGCTACAGAACTTGAGTCATGGAATTGACGGCTACCCCTCCGAATGCGGCACCCATGTTGTTTCAGGGGGACGGAAAGGTACACGATCGTACTATTTTCTGCCTACAAGCCACTCGACATTCTGTTTATGGCTCAGGAACGGGCGAAAAACTGGATACCAGTTTATAACCGTCTCATCCATGGTAGCGAGGCTGCGTCGTTTATTGGAGATTGAGTCTTCCTAACTGGAGAGCACTCTTAGCGTCGTTGAAAGCTCAAACTCGACCAATCTCATCCGATCGATGGCAGGATGTGAACAAGGTGCAGCTGGATCTAATCGTCTCCTTGCAAAGTGGCCAGTCTGCAGAGTTGAGAATTCAAATATGCGCATTAAGCGAAGGTCGCAGAAGCTTTTGCTTCCACGGCGAGAGCTACGGGTTCTCAAGGTGTGTAGTGCTGAGCTCCGTGTAAGGCCCCCGCCCGTCTGTGGTCGTTTCAAAAGACGCACCGGTCTGCGGAGAATAGAAGACGACGATTAGGTCGAAAAAAACTTCATGTCAGCGTAGACAATGTTGCATGAGTAAGCACTGTTGCGACCAAGTGTGGTTCTGAGGTGGGTAGCGTCAAGAACAAGGTTGCGTCTGTGCTGGTAAGTGATCACGCCTCGGAAGTTCAGAGTGTCTGTGCAATTGACGAGCTGTGGTAGTCGTGTGATCATTGATGTGATCAGAATTCGGTTCGCTTGCCCTCTTCCCACTGTTACAGTCCCCGAGGGATGTGCCTCGGTGAACAAGCGCGCTAGGCGTAAAGTATGGATACACTGGCGACGCTGGCTACAATAGCTACGCTAGAGGCAGGATTAATGTTATCACCGTTGGGTACTGCTACTTGCCTGTATCTACAACACCAAGTCCCAATGTGAATCGGCGATCGATGAACAGAATTACAAAAGAAGTCTGAAGCACTACCTTTCATAAGTTCAAGTTCGAAGGGTGGCATTGCTTTCCAGTAAGACTCGGGTGGTGGTGGGGTGGAATGATAAAACACATAGAGTGCATTAGATCCAATAGCGATTATTGCTTTATTGTCTGAGGTGAAGGACTGATCGCAGCATAGAAAGAGTATAGCGAGTGAAGAAAAGAAACGGGTGCGGCTGAACCTAGTGGTTTAGCCGGAGAATTTCTTTTGCACGTGGAATGCGTGAGGGTGTGATGGTGTTTCGTAAGACGGCGAGGTGTCGGAAAACAACCAGTGACCATCGTCCCGACACCATTTTCCGTGGTCCTAAGAGCAAGAGCCTCAATGACAAATATAGGAAAAATAACTGGCCTTGACTATCCAAGCCACGCGATCAGAGGCAAGGCTGTTGGCTCTCACCGCGCTAGCCCCTTGCATATCTTCCATTTCGATACTCCTTCTTTTTTGTTCTTTTTTTTCTAACCCGGCACCCTATCTTCAAAAGTTCAAAAGCCGCGGAACACCGATTGAAGAGCAGGTTAAGGAAGCCTGCCGAAAAGCCTGCCGAAAAGCGATAATCGATAATGCAATAAAGAGCGTGATGTGGAGAGGAGATCACCCCACAGCCACCCGGCGCAGACGGGCTCTGGCGCTACTACGAGAAGCGAAACCATTCAGCCATGGCCAGTTAGGTACCCGAATGTACATACGTATGAGCCTCTTGCCAAGAACCCGACTGTTGAGCTTCTGAACGCGAATGAGGGTGAATGGAGTCTTGGAGCGGGGTAACGAGTACTGAGAGCCCCCTGCTACACCTGCTTAGCGCATCGTATTCGGTGACATCATGAATAATATGCTCCCCGCTATTGGTCTAAATGCTCCCGACGTGTCGCCATGGACAACACTCTCACCTCCAACATCATCTAGATATAGCCGTTGATGCAGTTATTCCGGGCACTGCAGCCTCTACGAACCTCACTCAGACTTCACTTCACCCCAACGTCCCGGTTACAAAGATCCACGTTCACGTCATCAACCGCAGCGATGGCGCAAGAGTTCAAGCTCAAGGATGTCACTTCCCTACAGATGAAGAATGGAGAGAAGAAAGAAGCCGAGGTCGAGGGTGTTGAGGGTGGAAAGGTGCTCCTGTTGAAGGTCCAGGATCAAGTTCATGCCACCAGCCCGAATTGCACGCACTACGGAGCTCCATTGGTCAAGGGCGTATTGACGCCTGAAGGCCGTCTTACATGCCCATGGCACGGGGGTAGGTGGCTACTGCTGCGAATCCTATACGAGTAGAGCTAACACGAGACAGCTTGCTTCAAGGTTTCGACCGGAGACGTTGAAGATGCGCCTGCCCTCGACCCAATTGACAAGTACGAAGTAATCGAGAAGGATGGTGCTGTGTACGTTAAGACTACGGAAGAGGCACTAAAGGCAAAACGGAGACATTTGAACATCAAGTGCTCGTCGGTCAGCGACGACAAGGTACTTGTCATTGGCGGTGGTTCCGGTACACTGGGTGCCATTGAGGGTCTTCGAGGTGGAGGCTACACTGGCAAGATTACCGTCATCTCAAAGGAAGGCTACCAGCCCATTGACCGAACCAAGCTGTCCAAAGCACTACTGGCCGATATCTCAAAACTCGCGTGGAGACAAAAGGATTTCTACAAGGATGGATCCATTGACATTATTGAAGACGAAGCGCAGAACATCGACTTTTCTGGCAAGAAGGTATCGACAAAGTCTGGAAAAGAATACGAGTACACCAAGCTTGTGTTGGCAACTGGAGGCACGCCGAGGTGGCTCCCGCTTGAAGGGCTCAAGGGTGATTTGGGCAACGTCTTCCTTCTCCGGACTCTACCAGACGTGCAAAATATCCTCAAGGCCGTTGGAGACAATGGAAAGAAGATTGTCGTGATTGGCAGCTCGTTCATCGGTATGGAGGTTGGCAACTGCCTGGCAGGCATGAAGAATGATGTTACCATTATTGGAATGGAAGAAGGCAAGTAATGTAGGCATCTAGTCTTGTGCGATATACTGACAAGAGGGTAGTGCCAATGGAGCGAGTAATGGGCAAGAAAGTGGGCGCAATCTTCCAGGGCCTGCTTGAGAAGAACGGTGTGAAGTTCAAGTTGAGTGCGGGCGTGGACAAGGCAACTCCGTCAGAGGCGGATACATCCAAAGTGGGGGCAGTACATCTCAAGGACGGCACCGTATTGGAGGCGGACTTGGTGATTGAGGGAGTGGGTGTTGCGCCGGCTACCGAGTACCTGAAGGACAACTCGAGCATCACGCTTTTGAAGGACGGATCCCTGAAGACGGACGAGTCATTTGCGGTCGAGGGACTGAGTGGCGTGTACGCGATTGGCGACATTGCAACGTACCCTTACCATGGACCTGGTGGTAACGGGGCACCGGTGCGCATCGAGCACTGGAACGTGGCGCAAAACGCGGGTCGATCAGTGGCCAACACGATCAACAACCCGGGAAGCAAGCCCAAGCCGTTTATTCCAGTGTTTTGGTCGGCACTTGGTTCTCAGCTGCGGTACTGCGGTAACACGATGGCGGGCGGGTACGATGATGTGGTGGTGCAGGGAGAGTTGGAGAAGCCCTCGTTTGTTGCCTACTACACCAAAGGAGAGACTGTTGTGGCGGTGGCATCCATGATGAAGGACCCGTACATGACACAGGCGGCCGAATTGATGAGGAGGAACAAGATGCCGAGCAAGAGCGAATTGCAGAAGGGGGTTGATATTCTCGAGGTTAGTCTTCCCAGTGAGGTGAAGATTTAGATGGGGTGGGGGAGGCTAGTGTTGATAGGGGTGGGATGAATCAAGTGATTGAGCTTGCAGAGCACGAGTGTGTAGCGGAATCAAGTATTTGAGATTACAGAGAAATATTTAGTGTGTTGTGGAATCGAGTGGTCCAGGGTATGGGTGGGTTGTTGTAGATTAAGTGCGAAGGGGAAAGTGAAATGACGTCTGATGCTCGAATCCGGGGCAAGATGTTTCACAGGGTGGGGGGTAAAACCATGCACAAGAAGGAAATAGTACTCAGGTCTGGGGCGGAGAGAGAGCGGAAATGGGGGGGGGGCGATGAGAAAGAGGAAATGAGAAGCCGTGATGGGATTTTGGGGTGGTGACGTCGAGGGCCAGCGGCAGGAGCCTCGTGTTGGACCAAGCGACAAGGGAAAGGTTGCAGTTGGGAATGGCGCAAAAAGGTCGAGCAACGGTGGGAGCGGGAAGGTGGGTCTCTCTCTCTCTTTCTCTCTCGCTCGCTATGGCAAGGGCGATCGAGAGCGCGCGCGCCAGCAAACCTCATTTCCGAGGACGGGCCTAAACGGGTATGGATGTAGTCAGTATGTTGCTAGGAAGCGCTGCATTCGCTCATTATCCACGGCATATGTTACATGGGTGGGGATGTTATTTGTAAATATGGAAATTGATCCAGTCGATGGATGTGGTACACAAAAGGGCAAGATGCAGGGAGGCGCCGTGCACCGTGGGCAAAGAGTCAGTTGAGTAGTGCGGGATTGGGGGTCGGTTTGTCCTGCATTGGGTGGATGGCACTAGCATGCAGGGCGCTTCGTCGCTCGCTTGGGGCGTGGGCTGAGACACGGTGACAGGCGTGTCATTGTGTGGATGATTGCTAGTAAGTATGTCACCCAGTTCCGTCATCTGTGTGTCTGTCCTGTCTGTTTGGCTGTTGGCGGTTGTAAGAGAGTGCACACACAGTAAATGTCACAGCAGAGGAGAGCCAGGCAGCGATAATCATCACATGAGCCTCAGGCACCTCGTTTAGGGCTGAATGATGCGACTGTCCTAGCACAGGTTACACTACATTACTTACTGCAGTTCTCTACTCTACAGACAGCATCATCATTATCATCATCGGCATCATCATCATCATCACCACCGCCACCAAAGCGTGGTGGGAGCCCCGATTCCGAGGCAGGTCATGTGACTCGCGCGGCGGCAGGCTGTTTGTTATTGTTATTGTTGATGTTGAAATGCGTGTTTTTTTCGCGAGAGTTTGCTTTTGCGGCCCCGACTCAAAATGCTTCCCCTCGGACATGGACACCAAAAAGAAACGAAATGGGGGCCCAACGGTCAGCAGCCAACCACGGATGCATGTGCGAGGGAGCAGATAGGCGTCGGTCAGATGGATGCAAAGGGAGAATGGGTGGCCGGATGAAATGCAACATCTTGCAAGCGGCAGGTCGAGACAAGGGACATTGGAGGCCTTCAAAGGTGCAGGAGCAGGAGCTGAGGGCGGAGGGCTATATCCATGGAGAATGGCAGCTACGCCGAAGGGGTGGCAGTTCGCGACTAGGCCGACGATGGCGGGCGGGCGAGCGCATAACGGGCAATTTACGCGTGCCGGGGTGGGTGGATGAAACAAGCCATGGGACCCCCCGGTACTGGCCACATCCGACCAGTATGGCCATGAGAGGAAATAGGTACACTGTGGGCCACCATGGCGCCGGCCAGCAACAGTAGTAGTAGTAGCAGTAGCAGCAGCAGCCGCCGCTGGCCCTGGGGCGTATCGAGGGCGTGGATGGATGGATGGATGGATGGATGGATGGATGGATGGCGCTTGGAGAATGAGAGAGAGAGGGAAACAGATGTGTCTGTGGACAAGGTACTTGGGTTTCGTGGGTGGATGCTATGACTATGTACTAACGTATGTATAGAACTGCATGTGTATACACATGTACAGGTACAGGTACGGGTACAGGTACAGGTACATTGTACATGGTATATGCGTACAGGTAAGTACTTAGTGTATACATGGGATGATATACATGTTCGGTCCTGTGCAGTCCAGTGCAGTAAGTAGAGTACATACATCCACACTAAGTATACTACCATGTACACTACTTACAGCATGTCCATGGACGGGATATTGCTGCGCACCCAGAACAGCCATCGTCGATTCCCGTCTTCATTCATTCATTGAGTAGCAGCATCTAGCAGCCCAGCAGCCCAGCAGCCCACCCGCCGATGCTTTTGGCGGGCTGGTTTGATGAGGGCCCCCTGTCAATGATGTGCATCTGCGGTGCCTCCTTTCCCACGCCCATGGCCCTTTACCGAAATTGCCAGCGAGACCAACCTCCGCCGCGCCTTCTCTTCCTCCAACCCACGCCGCCCCAGCACCAGAGCAGTCAGCCGCCGCAGCAGCCGCCGCCGCCGTCGCAGCACGTCAATCGCCGTCGCGCCGTCGACCGCGAACGGAGTGAGTTGTGCACGAGAAAACGGCAGCGAGTCGCGAGTAGCGAGTCGAGAGTCGAGAGTTTGGAGAGTTTCGAGGGAGCGCGTCCACGGCAGAGTCAGAGCCACAGCCAGAGCCAGAGAGGAGGTCCGCGCCAGAGCCCACCAGCGCCAGAGCCACTGCCAAAGCCCAAGACATCAAAAGGCTCAAGTCAACGTCAACCGCCAGCCCACGCCCCCGTCAGCCATTAGCGACGCCTAGCCCGAGGCCGCATCAAGTCGCTGCACTGCTGCACTCACACTGCTGCTGCTGCACTGCTGCACCACACCAGCCCTCCCCAGCCCGCGCCCGCGCCCGCACCCACAACCTGCCCTGCCCTGCACGTCTGCACGCGCATGTGAAGGGGCTACCGCGCCAGCAGACGCCCTCGACACCGCGCTCTCCACCACCCACGACGGCATTGCCAGCCAGTCGTCCCTAGAGCCCTCCTCCTCTCCCCAACACACGCGCCCCCCCTCTGCCCCAGGACACAGCTTCAAATTTCACCGCTGCCCATCCCTCGCCCAGCCTGTGCCCGCCCAGTGTGCCACAGTGCAGGCCCGCTGCACAGTCAGGTCGGTGGTGCAAACTAAACCCGCCTGTCTCCCCGCCATCGCCCATTCGACAGCTCAACACCGCCAGTTCACGCCCACCCACACTTGGCCCTCCACCCATACCTGGGCCCGATAACGTAGCCCGCCAGTCCGCCTGCGCTGCTGCATACACGCCATCGCCACCCCCCAGACTCCTGCGCCCCAGATAATGGCCGCCGTAGCATCGCAGCCGCCCTACGGTCAGCAGTACCATCAACAACAAACGACGCAGCAACAACAACAACAACAGCAGCAATCCTCTGCCGCCGCCGCAGCTGCCTCGCCGCCCACCGCCCGCCGCCCCTCGCGACGGTCCAGTAATGGCGCGTCCCCCAACACGCCTGCCACGCCCCAGACTCACGACTCCGCCCTGAACACGTCCCGCGCGCAACCGATGCCCCAGTCCTCCCACTCCTCGCCGGCCACCAAAAACATGTCTGCCACCACGATGACCGCCGGCGGGCCCATGGCTCCTCCCAGGACCTCGTCGCACCGCAGCACCTCCAACGGGGCCGCCGCCTCGTCACAGCAACGCGACGATGCTTCACAGTCGCGTCGCCGAGCAAAAGACAGTCCCCGACAGCAAGGAAGCTCCGCCAGGTCTCAGCCCGCTCATAGCCGCTCTGCAACGGCAATTGGCCAGCCGCCTGTCAACACAAGTCTGCCTCGCGAGGAGAGTGCAGTCATAAATCGCATCGTCGTCTCAGACACCCAAGAAGACATTGCTCGCGCACAGGCGCGGCAGGGTGACGGCCCCCACGTCACATCCGCTGCCGACCTCACCCCCATAACAGGACTGAGTCTAGTCGGCAGCGAGGGTGTCGACGATGGCGGCCGTGGGGCCGGCGGCGGCAAAAGCCGGCAGGACCACTCCAAGTCGGAAAACGCGAAGCGATCCAAGTTTGGTAACTACATTCTCGGTCAGACGCTCGGCGAGGGTGAGTTTGGCAAGGTCAAGATGGGATGGAAACGAGACAGCCCCATCGAGGTTGCCATCAAGCTCATACGGCGCGAAACTCTGGACAGCAACTCGAATAGACTGCAGAAGATTTACCGAGAAATTCACATTCTCAGGGGACTTGACCACCCCAACATTGTCCGCCTTCACGAAATGGTCGAGACTGAGCGCCACATTGGCATCATTCTGGAATATGCGTCAGGCGGAGAATTATTCGACTACATTTTAAACCATCGTTACCTCAAGGATGGCCCGGCACGGAAACTCTTCTCACAGCTCATCTCCGGTGTCGGCTACCTACACCGCAAGGGCATCGTCCACCGAGATCTCAAGCTTGAGAATCTCTTGCTCGACCGCAACAAGAACATCATCATCACCGACTTTGGTTTCGCAAACACCTTCGATCCCAACGATGAGCTTAGCGAGGAGATTGAGTACAGACTCGGGGACAAGGACTTTATGAAGTCACTGGGCTTGGATGGCAGCGACGCATCAAGACGCGGTGATCTCATGCAGACCAGCTGCGGAAGTCCCTGTTACGCGGCGCCAGAACTGGTAGTCAGCGACTCTCTCTACACTGGCCGCAAAGTGGATGTATGGAGTTGTGGTGTCATTCTGGTAAGTTTCGACCACCTCCATATGCAAGTAATGCAAGCACTAACAACATGAAAGTATGCCATGTTGGCTGGCTACCTTCCCTTTGACGATGACCCAGCGAACCCCGAGGGTGACAACATCAATCTGCTGTACAAGTACATTGTATCCACGCCATTGACATTCCCCGAATACGTAACACCCCACGCGAGAGATCTCCTCAAGCGCATCCTTGTCCCCGACCCACGCAAACGAGCAGACCTGTTCGAAGTCGCGCGTCATAGCTGGTTAGCCGACTACGCCCACGTGGTCGGCTTCATCACCTCGAGCAACACCCCCGCCGCCGAGGCCCAACAGGCGTCTGTCTACTCAAGTAAATATTCATGCTTGGGTTTGG